CCAGAGGGCTGAAAAAAGTCATTTCTGACTGGGCCTCGCACTTTTGACCGGTCCTCACACTTATGACCATCCTCACATTTATGCCCGTGCAGCTTTCTTAACAACCATGTCACTCATTTCACAACTGCTTCTCTTCACCATGGTGACAAGATAGGGCAAAAACGTAAAATGTGAGGACAGTCGTAAGTTCGAGGACTGGTCAAAAGTGCGAGGACCAGTCAGAAATAACTTTTTCAGCTCTCTGAGTAGTCCATATGCACAAAAGGACTACCCAGAGGGCTGAAAAAAGTCATTTCTCTGACTGGGCCTCGCACTTTTGACCGGTCCTCACACTTATGACCATCCTCACATTTATGCCCGTGCAGCTTTCTTAACAACCATGTCACTCATTTCACAACTGCTTCTCTTCACCATGGTGACAAGATAGGGCAAAAACGTAAAATGTGAGGACAGTCGTAAGTTCGAGGACTGGTCAAAAGTGCGAGGACCAGTCAGAAATAACTTTTTCAGCTCTCTGAGTAGTCCATATGCACAAAAGGACTACCCAGAGGGCTGAAAAAAGTCATTTCTGACTGGGCCTCGCACTTTTGACCGGTCCTCACACTTATGACCATCCTCACATTTATGCCCGTGCAGCTTTCTTAACAACCATGTCACTCATTTCACAACTGCTTCTCACCACCATGGTCAAGATAGGGCAAAAACGTAAAATGTGAGGACAGTCGTAAGTTCGAGGACTGGTCAAAAGTGCAAGGACCAGTCAGAAATAACTTTTTCAGCCCTCTGAGTAGTCCATATGCATAAAAGGATACAGCAATAGAGAGGGATGAAGGAAGGGAAGGGAAATTAGAGTAGGAGAGAGAGGGAGGAAGAGAGAAGGAGAAGGAGAAAGGAAGAGGAAGTAGGGAGGAGAAGAAGAGGGGGAGGAAGAGAAAGTAAGAAGGAAAGAAAAGAAAGGTGGTAGGTTTGAGGAGAAAGATTGCTATACAATAAAAAAGATGAAAGGGAAGAAAGCCAACCCCAAACAAATATAAAGATATTAAGATAAAGAATGAATTGTTAAACTTTAAAGAATAAAAGAGAACAAATATGAATAAATAACAATAATTAGAAACACACATACAAACATACAATGTATTTTCTTTGAACAGAGTATTTGGCCGGTTCACAAATTTAAACAGTGTTTAGTCATTCCAATTAAATTTACAATTTCTATATTTCCTTTTTGCCATATTTATTCCTCATCTATTTTTGTAAAAAACCAATATTACCCTCATCCTCATCTCTAATCTTAATCAAATTCAATTTTTCCCTTCTATTCTATATTATACCCCTTCCCATTGTCATCTATTTTTATATCCATCCTCACATTGGTTAATTATGTAATATTAGTTGTTTAATATAAATTCAACATTTTAATATAAATCAATTAGTTATATAACTACCTTTTTTGTATATTAATCAATATGAAGATGAATATTCCAATTATTTCCATGCAATCCAATTTCTTACAAATCCATTAATTATATTTACCAATAATAATAAACCAAATAATTTCCCCCATATATTCCTCCAAACCACAACTTAACCATTTCTGCTTTCAGAAATATACAATTAATAGTATCTCAATTATTACAATTCCCTAGTTAAATACAGCTTTTTTTTTCTTTTGTGTTTTAAAATCCTGAACTCTTCTCTTTTTCCCTAAATTTCCCATTGTCTGCACGTACCTTTTCTGGTGAGGAAAAAGAAAAGAATTCTGCCTGCCTAATTTTCCAACCTTGCAGCAACAGCAAAGCAGTTTCACTTTCGTTTCTCAGTATAGCTAGGGGGAAAAAAATCAGCACTCTTTGGAAGGAAGCAAAACAGCGGAGACAAATCAGCTGAGAGCCGGGAGGCCAATTAGCCTATGCTGAAGCTCCGGGGGCCAATAACATTACAAAAAAAATACCGAACCCTTTGTTAAATTGCTGGCTCCCCCGCCCCTCGCCCACCACTATTTATTGGCAATAAATAGTGGTGCGGAGGGGCGGGGGAGCCAGCAATTTAACAAAGGGTTCGGCGGAGCCACCTAGAACACCCAGAATCCCACACTGTGTAGGCCCCTCTGGATCTTGAGGCCCTAGGCTGAAGCCTAGTTAGCCTATAGGAAAATCCGGCCCTGTTCCTAAGTCATTAAAACACACGAGTAGTCCCAAAAACCTCTTTTATTGCAACAGCTGTGAATTACGTTCATTCACAGCTGAGTCCCAATTAGTTGCAAAAAGTCCTTCGGGAGAAGTCCTTCCGGATAATCATCAACCTTTATCTCCCTTGACATGCTGCCAAAGACATACTTGGCAAAGCCATGCGGAGTCCAGAATCAAACAGAGATGCCGACTGGGAACAAAATTAACAACATTGCTTTCCTGCAAAGGGCCCACTTGCCTTTGCTTCTCTTTTAAGCCTTATGGGAGGGGCCAATCATCTCCAGGCCTTACTTCCGAGTCATCTCTTTAGCTTTAACTGTTCTTGCCTTCTGGCAGCTCTGTGCATGCGTGCACGAGGAACAGGCTCCTCCTATTCCTCTGCCTCTCTGATGTCCAACTCTGGAGGCTCTGGAGTCTGCACATAACTCCCAGATGGCCCTGACCTCATCTCTACCTCTGATGCAGAGCCCTTGTCCGAGCCTTCCCCAGACTCCAGGACTGGCCCATGTTCCTCCCCAGCCTCCTCACTGTCCGATTCCACTGCCAGCTCCGCAGGTTGCTGGTGGACTGCAACAAACAGTGGATAAAGGGATATTGTAATAATAAGGGCCGTGAATCCTCAATTAGTTTGATATCTTTGCTTAGTGATCATAATTGGGATTGGAAACTCCATCGCTAAGCAAAGTCGGTAAGCAAAGCATCACATAATGATGACCAACTTATAACCTCACTGTAGACTGTAGGTCATTAAAATCAACTTGCAATTTTACTGCAGTCTTCTTCATTGACTCTACTTGACAGAAGCTGGTTCTGAAGTGTGGGAATCACATGGCCACAGGATGCTACAACATCATAAATGGCCACCATTTGAGAAGTGCCTGAAGATGATCACATGAGCCCAGGGATTCTGTGATTGTCATAAATATGAGGACTGGTTGTGAAGTTACTTTTTAAGCACCATCATGACTTCAGTCACTAAACAGGGCAATCATTAAACAACATCCACCTGTATCTAAAATGCTTATATGCGTAGGATGATACTAACTGCAGCTAAGGAAAGTTTATTCCAAGGCCACCTAAGGCATTAAGTAAATTTGATTTTTAGAAAAGAACACATTTACATGTCCATACCAAGGTCACTTAAAAACTTCTGGATTAACACAGAGACTTTCCATTGCTGTAACTAAATGCCTTATTTATTCTAGAGTCATCAGAAAGATTCCTTTTGCCTGGTCAAATTCTTTGCATGCTAATATAAATTTATATCTAACTCTTCATCCATGGATTCAAACTGATACATATACAATTTTCTTCAGATCACCCTGCCCCAGCCATGGTAGGAACAAGCTCAGCTAATACGATGATGGGTATGTGTGTGTATGTGTTTTGAATAGAAGTGCAGTCTTAGCCATAGTCCTTTAGGGTAATACATCTACTGCATCTTATTCACCTCTTTTGTAAATAAAAGCAATATTTAAGATATTTTATATAGTTTTTAAAACATTTTATAAACTAGATATTTCACATACAGATAGTCCTTGACTTATGACCCAATCGAGCCCAAAATTTATGTTGCTAAGTGAGACATTTGTTAAGTGAGTTTTGCCCCATTTTATGACCTTCCTAGTCACAATTGTTAAGTGGATCACTGCAGTTAAGTTAGTAACACGGTTGTTCGGTGAATCTGGCTTCCCCATTGACTTTGCTTCTTAGAAGTTCGCAAAAGCTGTTCACATGACCCCAGGACACTGCAACTGTCATAAATATGAACAAGAATTTTGATCATATGACCATGGGGGGGATGCTGCAAAAGTCATTGGCATGAAAAATGATAAGCCACTTTTTTCAGTGCCCCTGTAACTTTGAACAGTCCATGAAATGAACTGTACATGAAATGAACTGTTGTAAGTCAAGGACTACCTGTACATTTGTTGCAGGTCAACCTGAACAACTTGACATGCTCCTTTCTTGGCTGCTTTCCCTTTCATACACTGTATGTTGAATGTCATGAAAATCATTAGATTTTATTCACGGTGATGCTCATTTTATATACAAATGCCTCAGTGCAGTGGTGGGTTGCCCCCGCTTTGCACTGGTTCTATAGAACCGGTAGTAAAACCAGCGTGAGGCTCCGCCCACTGACCCCAACATCATCAGAACGTTTTTGCACATGCGCAGAAGAGCGCACATGCGAACGAAGCGAGCACGCGTGTGCAGCCCCGTTGCAAACCGGTAGTAAAGGTAAGTAAAACCCATCCCTGCCTCAGTGGTGAAATCCAATTTTTTTTACTACTGGTTCTGTGGGCGTGGCTTGGTGGGCATGGCAGGGGAAGATGATATTACTCTATCAGTGGTGCAATTCAAATTTTTTTACTACCGGTTCTGTGGGCGTGGCTTAGTAGGTGTGGTGTGGCTTGGTGGGCGTGGCAGGGAAATGATACTGCAAAATCTCCATTTCTACCCCACTCCAGGGGAAGGATACTGCAAAATCTCCATTCCCTCCCCACTCCTGGGAGAAGGATATTGTAAAATCTCCATTCCCACCCCACTCTGGGGCCAGCCAGAGATGGCATTTGCCAGTTCTCTGAACTACTCAAAATTTCTGTTACCCGTTCTCCAGAACCTGTCAGAACCTGCTGGATTTCACCCCTGAAATGCCTTGACTTCCAAAAAGCGGCATAAAATACAGGCAGGCATAAAAATACAGTAATAAAAGAAAAGGCAGATGTAGGTCAAAGGAGGAAAGAGACGTGGGAAGGTAAAGCCTGTAAAATTAAACTAATGAGCCTAAACTGGATGTTCGGAGCCAGCCATCCTTCGAAATCTGGCAAGGCTGGATTCCATTTGCGGGTGTTTGTTGATTCCTCCTGCTCTCCATTCAGGAAATAAGGTAAGGCGGAATGTGCTTCTCCGAGGGGCATTACGGTAGCTGAGCTCCCGTCTCGGCGGCTAGCTCCTCCGCATTGTGTTTCCTATCCCGGGCAGGTAGGGGAGGCTGGGAAGAGGAGCCGCGTCGTTGGGGGCCTGGGGGGGTGGGAGGCAGCCCCTCTAGGGAAGAAGAAGAAGAAGAAGGCAGGCGGACTTTGCCGTTTGCTGCTGCAATCCCGGGACGGGGCAGATCTCGCCTGGCGACCTGGCGCTGCTCCCTCAGCTCCCTGGAACTTTTGCCAGGCATTGGCGCTGCCTGCTCGGATGACGCGGCCAACTCATCCCGGGTTGAATGCCGGCCGCTTCCAGCACCCCTAGAAGGAAGGAGGAACCCAAGGACGGCGACGGGGAGGAAGGAAAGATCCGGGTTACACCCGGCAAAAAGCACCGCTGGAAGGGGAGAAGCCCCGCTTGTGATGAGGAGCCCGCAGGGAGACTTCGGAGCCGAGAGATCGGCCGAGGCCCTCGGAGAGGCTCCGATTTATAAGGGTGCTGCCTGCGGAACTCCCGCCCACACGCCCCGAGCTTCTGGGAGGGACTCTCTGCCAGGCCGAGCCTTCAGCTCAAAAGCCCAGCTGGAAGGTTGGGGAAAGGAGCGCCCGCTTCCAGCTGCCGAGACAGATCCAGGCTCTCGCTTTACCGCCCCTTTCCCGGGAGATGGAGGTTCCGGGTAGCGGCGCGGAGCTCCCCCTGCCTCCGGACCTGAAGGATTTGGAGATGAAACTCGGGCAGAAACCTCCGGACGGGCTGATCCGATGGCTGCGGGGGGACCCCACGGCTCACCTGCTTCGGAACAGCCCGAACCGGGGGCCGCGCCACGGGCTGGGGGAGAAGATCAAGGCTCTGAAGCTGGAACTGGTGAGTCACGAGAAAAAACCCCTCCACACTCTTTCCGCGCGGAAATATAGGATGCCCCCTTTGCACCCCCCCTTTTTTTTGTTGCTTCTGGAAGGGAGAAAAGGCAAAGATCTCCCTCCTCATTCATTCCCCTTTGCTTTCCATTCCAAACAGCGCCGTGGCCTTCCTGTGCTGGGAACAGCTGATTTGGCATAAAGAATCCCTCACTATGAATGGGTGGATTTTGGCTTCTGTTACACAAGTAGGTCCTTTGAGTTTTCTTTCCCAATCTACCACAAATGCCTTGCTTTTTAGATGAAGCAAACTGAGCCCCATTGGCTGGGCGACAGATTTTTGTTGTTGAGTGAATTTGGGATTTTCCTCCAGACACCTTCCCCTGATGGGCCCTGCTGAACCTGATCATTAATGCCCAGCCTGGAGCCTTTAGCCCTGCTCTCTTGTCTTTTACTTGTCGGTTCCCAGAACAAACTTCTCAGTCCAGTTTGCCTACCTTTCTATAGGCTAGCAATTTATTGGATGCCTCCCTATTTCCCAGTTCCTAATCCCAAACACTGCCTCTCCATCCCCATCTGATGGTGGGCAACTCTAACAAACATTTGTCCCATTTGTTTCAGCTCAGCTTCCTTTCCAGCATTCAAAATCAAATTAATCATCAGATTTTGGATACGACAGGCACTTCCACTCTTGGCTGGAAATGAAGAATTCTTCAGTGCTAGATGCTTGCTCTATGATGTTATTGATTACTTATGTTAGTATAGCTTTAAAAGTTCACTTTGTTCTCTAGCTCTCAATCTATACTGTTTAATGCTTAATCCATTATATATCTGATTGTGAGGCTACCATTTCCCAGCCCAGCCCACTTCAAATACCAGATTGAAATTGAAATATGTGGTGCCCAATTTCAGATGCTAGAGACATTTGACCAAGTCTGGTTTCAAAGTTAAGAAGGTGTGTCTCTGAAAGTCTGCACAGTTCTAGTGATGCAGTTGGCTTTTCAATGGGATTCTGCAAAATATTCCATTGAAGTAATAAGGGATCAGATCTTCTCTTCAGTTTAATGGGCACCCACGCGTGCACAGACATATGCACATGCAAATACACACAAAGTATTACATACTTGGTGTTCTTGATTAGCCCAATTCAAATAAAAGCATGAAAATGGATCGACTGGACCTAAGAAATATTCAGTGTGCTTGACGTAATTATAAAATGATTTTAGCATGTCCAGTTTGAATTTATTTGGCACCTGGAACTAAACAGGCACTAGGTAAGATCCAATCCAGTTCAATTCTAGGTAGCATCCATATCTTGTCCTTTAAGATTTTTTCCTCAGTTGTAAAACAACTCTGAATATGGAAACAGTTTGTTATTCTGTTTGAGATTTTTTAAACTTCTCAGGTTAGTCTATTGCCCTGATTGCCTTTCATCTGAGTACTAATCAAGTCCAAACCTGCTTAACTGTTTTGAGGATCAGCTAAGCAGGGTAGCAGCTCAAGTTATTATGATGATGATTGTTTTTAATCATGCAAATTGCATCATGGCAGATTTATTATAATTGAACCTTAGGGCAAGGGAGATTCAAATAGGAGAATGTATACATTTCTTAGAGCCAGTTTGGTGTAGTGGTTGAGGCATCAAGTTAGAAATCTTGAGGTTATGAGTTCTAGTCCATCATTAGGCAGACAATGGCAAACGACTTCTGGTAATCCTTGGCAAGAAAACTTTAAGGACTTGTCCAGGGTGGCTCCAAGAATTGGTCATGGAAAGGGGAAAAAAATACATTTATTAATTTGTTTTATTGCCAGCCACAGTCAAATGATTCTCAGAGGCTTACAGGTTCATCTAGTACATACAAAATATCCATAATATAACATTATTAGCAAACATTAACTTTGAAAAAATGCATCTGTAGTAAAATAATTTTTAAAAATAATAGCCACAAAACAGTTATACACGTTTCTCTTTTTTATTTTCATTTCACTGCTTCTACTTTTAACATGTAAGCCATCCAGAGGTGTCTGGAAGTTGAGCAAGCTCTAAATCCAATGAAATCAATAATTTAAATAACTTTGCAGTGTGTCATCCAAGTGTGATTTACATTGCAGCCCATTTATATGAGAGTAAATCCCTCTGAACTTGGATTTATTTATTTCTGAGTCAATATATACAGGATCGTGTTGTTAATCTATTGAGATATCCATAAAAATGGAAAATATTAATTTAGGAACCAAATATCCCAATCAGCATTGTAATAAGCAGCTGGGCCTCAACACTAATCGAATCCCCATTTTTAAAACGATCTTTCATATGAAACTTGGCATTTAAGTATTACTTTTCCATCTCAACACAAAATAGAGAATGAGAGAAAATGATTTTGTCCCAAGATTGTTTCTCCAGGCAGAAAACAGAATGCAATGTAACAGGCCTCCCTTCTCCACATACAAGGCTGGCTGTTTGCCTGAGGGAGACATCTGCTCCCCAGCATGAAAATACTCATAAGTTTTCTTAGCAAGAGAGTGTTGTTTTGATTTTTCAAACTGAGGGTATTTTCATCCATCATACAATTTGTTTCCATCACGAACTTCTTCATTTACGAGGATGCTGAGAAACGTGGAAGGAAAACAGTTGGGATGGATTAAGTTACAGGCTGCACTGCCATAAATGGCTGATTTAGGAGATTGATTTTCACGTGGTGAATCAGACTGTTTTCACTGTTTGCATGTACATGCAAAAACAGAACCACATGTCCTAGGATTGCCAGCAGAGCAAGTCTAACTTGATTGCCTCCAATTACTTGATCTGGCGCAAAGTTCTATGTCCATCTTGGAGCCAAGCAGGTAGTCCTCAACTTACAACAGTTCATTTAGCAACCGTTTAAAGTTACAACATCACTGAAAAAAGAGACATGGCCGTTTTTCAACTTAAAACCGTTGCAGCATCCCTGTGGTCACATGATCAAAATTTGGACGCTTGCCAACGGACTCATATTTATGACGGTTGTGGTATCCAGGGGTGATGGGATCACCTTTTGCGACCTTCTGACAAGCAAAGTCAATGGGGAAACCAGTTTCACTTAACAACCGTGTTACTAATTTACCAACTGCAGTGATTTACTTAACAACTGTGGCAAGAAAAGTCATAAAATGAGTCAAAGTTCACTTAACAAATATTTTCACTTAGCAACACTTATTGGGCTTTCACTTATTGGGCTCAGTTGAGATTTGGGCTCAATTATAATTGAGAATTATAATTCTCAATCTGAGAATTATATCTTAATTATAAATCCAGGAAAGGTAGTTTTATTACTGGATATTGTCGTCAAAATGATTTAGGCAAAAGTAGCATTGAACTGCTCCTTCCTGGGAAGGCCTTTATTTCCTGGGAGGTCGCTTTCCTACTGAGGCTGGTACAGTTAATTCTCCCTGACCCTCTGGCTTTCAAAAGGTGCCTTCTTAACCAAGATGTAAAGGAGAAGAATTAAGAAAAACTCCTACTTCCTGCTCCAGCCAGTGTGAGCTGGCCATGCATGCTTTTTCCAAAGTTTGTGCCCCTGATGTGCTAGAATAGAGTGTGAGCTCTCTAAATGCCAGCCAGCATGGCCAACAGATAAAATGTCAAAATGTAACTTGAGGTGAGGGTAATTCATCCTGTTGGATATCACTTTGCACCAACTGATACAGAGAAGTATGTGTAATGTGTTTTGAAGTTGTTCTTATCTGGTTTGGGACACTTGCTCCATGCCTCAGCACGTAGTTGTTCCTGCTAATCAGGTCTGTACTTGGAAGTCCAGTTATTATTTGGGAAATATCAGAGCTTCAGGCTAGACTGGGAAGCTGAAAAACACCCTTGAAGGAAACATTGGCACACCATTTCCATATTGTTTCCAAGACAATTTCATGGATGAACATTACTCAAAGATTGTATCTTTTTTCTGAGTAAAAATGTCCTGGAAAATATATTCAGTGAAATACACGAGGAAGCTTTTCTGAGGGTGGCATCTAGATTTCAAAATCCCTTTCTGAAAGCTTTTTGAAAGTTCGTGAAACAGATCTTTATCTTTGGTGGGAATACATTTGATCTGGATTGAAAATTGTTGCATCATTTCATTTAATGTTTAACTTTCTCTATGCTTTTAATTGGCATTTTCTTTTGGTTGTATTCTGTAATTTTCTGCTGCTCTTCTGAATCGTTTATTATCAAAGTAAATTTAATTCACTGGTTTGGTGTTTTGTTTGTTAGCTACCTACTGGTTTACATGCTTTAAATGCAATGTTATGTGATGAAACTAAATAAACACAGAGTAAAGTACTAGGATTATAATTCTTAAGTGACTAAAAGAACTATTTGTAACTTAAGCAAGCCTGGGCTAGAAGAAAATAAAATCATAGGATCATTTTCATGAACTTTGTTGTGGGAATGGGATTCTTTGTAGGGTCTATAATTTAAATTTTCTGGGTCAGATGTGTAGAAAACAAAATGTAAAGATCCATGGCCCATTTTATTAACTGCATTCAGTCAAGCTTTCTTTATCATCCCTCTTTTCATTGGAGAGTGCTGTAATTCAGTATGGATATTCTTTTGATTGATGTCTGGGCAGCCTTGGCACATAAATCTCAAATAATCACTATACTATTGGAATTCTTTAGCATCGTTTTAGTTCAAAAGTATGACTGCAATGTGCACAATATGCCCATCAAGGTAGAGATTATTTACTATATTCTGAGGAAGTAATTAAATTATAATGAAAACTTTTGAGAGTCTAATCAGGAAGGTCCTGAGGGACTTTAAAAGAATCATGTAATGCACTGTAATACAGTGCACTCTATCTATAGCTGCAATATTAGCTCCAACATAGAGTTAAAATGTTAGACCGGTATTTCTCAACCTCAGCAAATTAAGGTACATGGAATTCTGGGAATTGAAGTCCATGCATCTTAAAGTTGCTGAGGTTGAGAAACCATGTATTAGATAAAGACCAGAGATTTGGGCTAATTTTTACG